GCCCCATCATGTAGCCGCCGTGTGGTTCGTCGCGGGGTGAGTCTCAACAGCAGCCTTTTACTCCAACTCCCGGGATGGGAATGAGTGTTTTAACCTGCCGCGGATGCCAACGCCCCTGCCTCGGTGTTTGGTCACGTGTCTGAGCGGCACGGCCCCGGCAGGGTCCTGAACGGACAGAAAGACAAGTGAGCCTGCTTAGGGCTCCCAGTACCGGAGGCTTAAGGGTCAGAAGGGTCCTCACTCTTCTAAGAGGGCCACAGGAAGTCGTTCCTGCACATTGTCGTGTGTAGAGGTGACACCTGGAAAAACTAGAACCATTTAGTCACCAGGAGGGAAGTGGGAGAGAAGGAAAGAAACAGGGCCTTGACATTTTCAGTCAGGAGTCAAACCAGCCCCATGCTACCTTCGGGCTTGCAGCAAAAACAAAACAGAAAAAAAAACACACACAAAAAAACCCACCTCTTCTCGGTTTTTGAGTCACCTGTAGAGAGAGAGAGAGAGACAGAGACAGAGAGAGAGAGAGACAGAGAGATCGTTTTAAGTGATATGGACCATGAACAAACTTAAAAGACAAACTGGGGAAATATTTGCAATGACAAAGACAGATAATTAATCCCCCCCATAAATAAAGAATTACAAATAAATATGAAAAAAGAAACAACCTAATTAAAAAAATTTTTTTTGCTTTATATTATCACCATACCCTTTCTAAACATCTTAGTGACAAAAGGCAGAATGGGTGGTCCCTTCCTATAAGAGAAAATACAAATGGCTGACAAACACCACAGATAGACGCTTAGGGTCACTTGAACAGAAATGTGACTAAAACAAAGGGACCCCATTCTTCAGTTCTTCAAGAATAAAAACTATTGATATTACTTAGGGCTGAGGATATACAGAGAAACAAGTTCTGTCATGTACTGTGGAAGAGAGTATAAATCACTGATTTTCAAAAGAGTAATGCATGATATTTCTACTAACATTTGTAATGTTTATAACCTTTAACCAATCAATTTCAATCCTAAAATTTTATGCTGTAGAAATACCTAGGCAAGAAGGCAAAGATGTGTGTGTGGGTATATATATATTTTTCAATATTGTTTATAATTTTGAATTACTGAAAATGTCTCAAATATTCACCAGTTCAGAATTAGTTAAATAAACCCAAGGTACATGTATACAATGAAAATAAATACTTATGGGCTTCATAACAGATGAAGAAATCCCATATGTTGCCATTGAAATATGTTTAAAGATACATTTAGTGAGAAAGACCCTGTAATATAATTTTTGTGTGTGGAAAAAAGTCAGTCTGTACATATTAAAATGATCTGAAAGAACCTTATTGTACTATTACCCATGATTGCATGTGGGGAATGGGGTTAGTGCTCGGGGGGAGCCCCCAGTTCTGTCAGGCACCCACACACGGACACGGGTAACCACGTGCACCACCCCCACCTGGCCACACCCTGCCCGCCAGGAATTAAACTGCTGCTGTGGTTTCTCCCGACTTCAACCTGTTCCCTACTCTGTGGCATACCAAGTGTGGGGTGGTATGTGTTTGTAGAGAATTTTAAAACCATAATACAACAAAGTTGGTTTGCTTTATATTATCACCATACCCTTTCTAAACATGTCAGTGACAAAATACTGTCCCCGGCAGGGAGGGTCCTCTCACAGCCCCTTCCCTTAGTAGCTGCTGTCCCTGCTGCAGTCACCATCCATTGGGGCCTAAGTGCCCATGCGCCACTTGCTGAGCAAGGAGCTGCAGGGGATTCGGGCAGCGGGTGCTGTCCTTGCTGCCTCCGCAGAGCTCATTCTGGAGCAGAAGCACTCGGCAAGTCCACAGATACTGGAAGCCGCCAGTCTCTCTGGGGCTCAGCGGCCTGCCTGCATGACCTGCCTCCCCAGAGCTGCCTGTTCGCCAGCTGCCCTGCGCAGGCTCCGCCCTCACCCCTGTCCTCACCCCTATCCTCACCCTCCTACCTACCTCAATGCTGCCCTGCACCAGAGGCCCTACTGGTTTTCCTCACCCTGGGGTGGGGGCAGGGGAGACTCTTTGATCCTTTGATCTTTCTCCGATGCCCACCTTTGCCTCTGTCTCCAGTGTCCAAATCACCACTTAACTCTCCACTCGGCTCCTGAGAGCGTTACTTGAAAAATCCTGTCCTAGAATCTCCCTTAAAACCTTGGAAATGTGCCTGGGGACACACTGAAATGGCCGTCTGCAAGCCTTCAGCTGGGCAGTCAGTGACAGGCCCCTCTTTAGGGCCCACAGAAGTGGTGCTTCCCCAGCGGGCTTCTCTGGAGAAGGGGTTCACTGGGGAGGGCGGGGCCTTCCTGCATCAGCTTTAAAAATAAGCACTTCATGGAGGAGAAAGAAAAGCCATCCACCCAGCTGAACCTGAGCCTTGTAACAGAGAGGGGAGTGTGTGAGGAGAACAAGAGGGAGGTCCCATTAATTACCCTTAGAAGCAAAGGTAAAAGTTGAAGATTACGAGACCTATTTACAGGAGGAAATAGACCCATCATTGAGCCTAGAGAATGGAAGGATTGTTTAGGGCCAGAAAAGCGTCTCAATGTTCAGATTCCATTCTTTTCTGGAGCTTTGGAGAGGAAGGTCATAGCTTGGGTTTGGAAGGTACTTAGCAGTGGGCTCAGACTGAGAGGGGCTGTTGTCTTGGGCCTGGTGCTGGGCCCACATCCTGTCCCCACCCTGAGGGAACAGATCTGCAATCCTCTCTGGGAGCTGAGTGGGCTGGCCAGTGAAGGGCACCCCTGTGAGAGAGGCCCGTCCATTACCATCACAACGGCTGATGTCACAGACCCCACCGAGCAGCTGGGGCCCCAAAGGCAGGGTAACCCTAACCCCACCAGCGATTGAAACAGATAGAGGGGGAGCTCTCCCACACAATGCCCAGGCCCCCACGTCTCTGCTCCTCATCCTCCCACTTCCTCAAGAGTCTTTGTGCCCTGGTCCCTCGGGCCCAGAGCCTCTCTCATTCCTGGCAAACACTGCCCATTAAATTCAAAACTGAGGCCTTTGGAAAAAGGGTCTGGCACTTTCTTTCCCTCCCTCCTCTTATCTGCCACTAGCTATTCCCCACCCTCATCAGCCCAGCAGGCAGATAAGAAGCCCAGCTATGAGAAAAGAGTCTAGCTGGTGACTGCTTCACATCTGTCCCTGGTTGTCTTTGTTTCCCCACCTCAGAGCACCCCACGAGGCTGCTGGCCCCTCTCTGCACCAGGCCTTGGGCGAGACGTTGCACCAGGCCGAGCTCAGAAGATCTGGGAAATGTTCTGGGGCGTGCCCGGTTTCAGTTTGCCTTGGACAACCCACGCCTCTGTGCTGGACCCTCTCGTTTGCAATCTGCCCAACCAGCTGGGATTGTCCATGTTGTCAGGAGTGCAGGGCCCTCAGGCCCCCTTGGCACCCTAGCCAGGTCAGGGAAGAGACAGCTAGGAATGACAGCTGCACTGGTCTTTGGGTATGAGCTGGGGTTCACATGGGGCTCCTGGAAAAGGTGGGTAGCAGAGCTCCAGGTCCTGAAAAATCTCCTGTCCTAACTATAGGTGGCGGGGAGAGGGGGAGACCGCTCAAAACTTCTGGCAATCCCAGTTTCCAAAGAGATTTGGTTGTTACTCAATATTTTAATCATGAATCTTTTGTGGACGTTGATGAAAGCCATGCCGCTTCTATCCAGAAAAATGGGTGGAAGTAAGCCTGTGCGTGCGCACACACTCACATGTGCCTGCACACTCACATTCTAAGGGCTCGTGGACCCCCCGTTAGGAATGCTTGAGCTCTAGAAGGTGTGAGCTTTGGCACCAGGATGAGATCAGACAAGGTTCCAGGTGGTGTTGGGGAGCAGATCCCAACTGAAGGGCTGGCTGTGCTCTGGGCCAGGCAGCTGGCTGGCGCGAACAGACGGCTGGAACCTGGCTCAGGCGCAGGAACTCGGGAGGCCTTGGCTCTACCATTAAGCCTGTGTTGGGCTTGGGGAGGGAAAGCTGCGAGACAGAGATGCCCCAGGCACTTCTGTCCGATGCGCAGCCATGAGGTACGTTATGGAATTGGAGGTGAGGGAAAGGCCTTAAATACATGTGCTATGTCTAGGTACTGGCTCATTTCCGCTCCACAACCACCACCCAGTAAGTTAGGGACTACTATTCTGTTTCACAGACAAGGATTATGCGATTTAGGGAGCTGTTGAAGGTCATCCAGCCACTAAGTGGCACGGCAAGGACTGAAGCTCAGGGCTTTCAGGCACCAAAGCCCAGTTGCAACACGCAGACTTCTTTCCACCCCATCCCCACGGCTCCATGCCAGCCTAGGGGACCAGCAGGCTGGGTGCTGTCACACCACTTCCCGCCATACTCACCAGGGCTCAGCTGTGCCCACCAGGGCCTTGACTGTCCTTCCAGCACATACCTGACTCAGGCCAACTTTCCTTTTAATGTGATCTAAAACTCTCCCAGAGCTTAATGGAGTTTGAATGTCAGTCCTTTAAGGCCCAGCTAACTAACACCTGCTTTCTCTGGGCCACCTTTCTTGACCAGACTGGTTGTGATACCAGGCCATGATGGCTGTCTCTTTCCCCACTGAGTTCTAGAACAGGCTCTCCCCCGCAGTCCCAGGCCAGCTTTGTTCGGGAGAATTCTACATCACTCTGTCCTGACTGGGTACCTTTCCACGGCAGTGGTGGTATTCAAAACACACTGGGCCCCAAGTTGCCTAGCCCGCTACTCCACGGAAATGAGGCATTTCCAAGGTCACTCTTCTTGATGACGATGCCAGTGTTAGCTGTATAAACAGGAAAATCGAAGCCGGTGGTTTGGTCGTGTCCAAGGGCTGCCTGCCTCACCTGCATGGCAGGCTTTCTCCTCCCCACCAGGCTCTGCCTGCTCTAGTTCCTGGGGCAACGCCTGCCACCCAACCACGGCTGCGCTGCGAGGAAAGGGCGGGAGAACAAAAAACCAAGAGATGACACTGTGGCCTTTGAAACAGGTGTATAGGCTTTCTTGTTTAATAGCAGTTAAAAGAGGGACATGTACAGGAGGAGAAACATGCTCTTTCCACACAGGAGGTTTCCCAACAACCACGAGGCCCGTCTGCATCAGTAGCTTTACTAGTGACTGTTATAAAAGTTCCCTTTAGAGCTAAACATGGACTCGCCCAAACTTCCTCAGTAAATGTGCAACTGTTTGTGCAAAATAAAAAGGCCATTTCCAACACATTAGGGAAAAGTAATTGTAATTCAGGCAAAAAAATAAAAAGAGGGGGAAAAAAGAGGCAAATGAAGCAGCCAGGAAGAGAACCCTGGGAGGAGGGAGACTAAGGGGGGGGGGGGTGTTTCTGCAGCTGGCCCCGGGGCATGTGCTCAGGGGCCTTACGAGGAAGGTTATGGCCAATGCCAGTCCTGGGGGTAGAGGGCCCTGGGTCTGAGACTGGCTGAGCAAGCCCATGTCAAGTGTGCAGGGAAGTAGGCTGGTGTGGAGGCCTGGGGACTGTCAGGCCCAGTAGGCAAGGGGAACACTGGGGAGCTTGACACCCCTCCCTGGAAGCTTTAATCCCCTTTGCCAACAGGGGTTCTGCTGGTTCCAATCCCTGGGTCCTGGTTTTCCCCACCCACCAACAGCTTCATTTACAATCTACTCGAAGGGATTTCCCTATGCACGTTAAAGCTCTGCAAGCTCCCTCTGTTACCACTGAAACCACTTGCGTCCCAAGCTGGGAACATGAACCCAGTGTCCCTGAGAACTTGGTCAGGGGTCCGTGCCAACTAGAAGGCAGGCAGGCTTCCAGCCCCCACGTTCTCACCCCCTTCCTGTGGCCTCCAGGCTCTTCGGCATCTCTGGGCGTCCGAGGCTGGGCCTAAGGAGTCTGAGGGGCTCGGGCACACACCTCTGCCTGGGTCCTCTCATGGGCTGGCCCAGCCAGAGGCCTGCAGACAAAACTAGAAAATCCTACTTCACCCACCCAAACAACCGGTCCCTGTTTTGTTCCCTTCCCCTGCCCCCCAAGAGTGTGTCTCCACAGACAGCCCGGCAGCAGCACGCTGGTCCGTCAGGGCAGACCGAGGGCAGACTGAGGGAAGGAGAGCGCTGCCACGGGCTGGAGCAGGCCTTGTCCTCAGAGGGACTTCTGGGAGCGAGGTGAGGGCCACCCTCACCCATCGGCCCTGGGCACTGAGTCCTCTCTAGCACAGTTTTGAGACCAGATCAGCGATGCCGAGGAAAAGACAAAAATCGTGATATACCTACGAGTCGCCCCATTCTCCCTTCAATGTCTCAGCGCTCAGAGCTGAAGGGACCTGCTGCTAACGGAGGACTCGTGGAGGAGGGTGTTGGGGGCCTTTTCTAAGCAACAGGACTTCAGATTAGTGTAACCATTTCTCACTTTTTCAATAAAATCCAAGGCTTGGGAGATGGCATCTGGGGTTTCCCTCGTATGGCCCCTGCCTCTCCCTGGCTCATGAAGTTCTGGGCAGCAGCACTCACTCCTGACCCCCATCCTAAGAGCCCGGCCCCACCACCCAGTCCCCAAGAAGGGCCTCAGGAGGCATCTGCAAACTCTCGGGCAGCCCCTTGCCCCCAGCTTGGAGGGGGCTGCCTGCCTCCCTGCGGTTTTCCAGTTGTGATGCATTCAGGAGGAGTCGGGGGAGGGGATGAAGAAGGAAGCACTGCCCTCCCCAGAAGCAACTCGGTGGCTGACAAAGGCAGTGAGGAATTCTGTTTGATGAGAGTCTCCTCCCACTAACCCACACTGGAAACACCTGTGTGGCTTATCTGTAATTGTTTGGTGATGCTCGATTGCGTTCTTGCCAGTAGCCATAATAGCATCTTCCCACAGTGTTTCAAAGTGCGGGTTCCTCTGACTGACCTCACAGCAAAGCCCTTGCATTAAGTCTAGGGGCGCATCTGGGACACTGGGACAGTCTCCGGGCCAGCTGGTTCCGGTTCCCTGTGCAAACTCCAGAGTCTGGGGAATAGGGTTACAGATACTCTTTCTCAGACAAGGCCAAAAGGTGGCCACGGGGATCTCAGAGGAGGACGGAAGCCTTGGGCCTGAGCAAGAGCGTCATATACTCTTCGGGATATGACTCAGTGACGGACACTTGGGCCACAGGCAATAAATCCCAAGCTGTGCTGGCTGAGTCGACTTCATGGTGACAGTGGCCCCATCACTAGAGGCAGCCAGTCCAGCTGTGGCTGCCCCCACAGGGCAGAGCTAGTGACTCCTTTAAAGATGGCGGCCAGAAAGCTGATTTTTACCACACAGAGGAACAATGTCAAATAGTCTTCAGGTTCTCCCTAAGGGTAGAGTACGGGCTTCTGGAGTTGGACCTACCCCAGCGAGGCTGCTGCAGAAGCCGGGGTCTGAGGCTCTCTGTGAGGACCTACGGTAATAACTGGTGACCTAGGCCCTGAACCAAGCGTCCCGACCCTGAAAGAAGGAGAAGAGATGAATGGGGAAGGGACTGAGGCTCTGATTCCATTCACCCTGGCCTTCTGTGTGGGGTGACTAGCAGCCAGGCACGGGCCCGTCGTCCCCCACACACTCCATGCTGCCCTGCCACAGCAAGTCAGCGGTCGGGGTGCCGGGGCAGATCCGGGCTACAGAAACAGCTGTGCACGGGGACAGGAGTGATGCTGCCGTCGTGTCGTGTGCCGCGCTTGTCCACCAGCTGGTGGCAGTCCCCAGGCTGAGATGCACCCCCAGAAGTGTGGGCTGCTCTGTAGCAGACTAAGCAGTACGCTGTCCAGGCCTTCCCCGTGCATCCCAAAGAACCCACCTCCCCTCGGTGGTGAGTGGGCACCCAGGAGTGAATGGAATGCACTGCACTGTCCTCTGGTGGGCTCATCCTACCCCAGGGCCAACTGCCCATTTTGTCTGTGTGGTCCTGGGCCCCAGGCCTGAGCTCCGTGGGTGAAAGCTGGCCCATCACACGGGGATGGGCGACCACCGTCCCTCAGATAACACAGTGTAGTAGTAACTCCCCTGAGCCCCGGCCTAGCAATATCTCATATGCTTGCTTCCTCTTGTGCCTCTACTACTATAGGGAAAGGTTATGCGAATACTGTACATAGGTTATTAAAAAAATACATTTTCTCTCTCTGAAGAAGAATGCACAAATGCAGGGCCAGCCGGGGCCGGGTCCCGGGCTGCGGGGCTGCAGCGAGCAGCCTCTGGGGCTCGAGGCCAGCCTTCAGGAGTGGTGGCTGCTGATGAGTCCGCGGAGCTGCTTGGCCACCGTGTCAATCAACTTCTGCTTGTCTCGCTCATTTTTACGAAACTGTGCAAACATGTTGTTCTTGCGGCTAGTGTCCTTCATCCTAAACAGGGAAGGAGAGAGAGAGGGCGAGTGTTTGAGGAGACAGCAGTGGAAGGGGAATCGGTAGGAGGTGGGCTGGCATGGTGGGCCCTAGCTGCCACCCACAGCGGACAGTCCAGAACATGCCCATTGTCAGGCTTACACTTATCCATTGTTCAGGAACTGCTGCACCCCCAGTCCTCCCAAATTCAGTCACCTTTGCAAATAGTCAAGAGCCAGCTATGGAGGGGCTAGCCTCCTGATGATCCACACCCACCCTACCCACTTCATTCCCTTCCACCTGCAGGTATGCACCTGTTACAGGTAGTACCTGGGACGTGCAATAGCAGTGATGATCAAAGCCTCTTACAGATTATCCAGGATCTACTTATCAACTCATAATCCTACTTAATCCTGCGGGGACCTTAAAGCTGATATTTGAAAGGTAAAGCAGGAAAACACTCTTAACGAGCAATTCCAAGAGGACATAAATAGCAAAGCCACTGTGTAATTCTAACCCTCACTATAGCTGGTGACACCCTGTTCCATCCCTGACAAAACCGAGGGCTTGACTGATCTCTTGTCTTTTGTCTCAGAGTAGGGACCTAGAGTCGGGGAGGGGGCAAAGACGACATGGTGCGAGAAAAGCAGATGACAAAAAGAATGGCTGGACTATTCTCCCACTCCATAAACCAGGGCTTGTGGCAAGAGAAGCCCTGAGTTCTCAATGGCTGTCTATAGCGCCTCAGGCCTTTGACCTTTGAAGACCTTTTTATTACTAGGCCACACTAAAGCCCCAGAGCACATTCCTAGTATATTCCTAGAGCACAAACCATGGGCAGCTCTGGCCAGTTGTTCCGTCCAATGGAGAGCCATATTGGGAAGCACAGAGAAGGAGGGCCGAGGCCAGGCTGAGGCTGTCGCCGGATGCCCGGAGCCTGACTCCGCTGTTACAGTGGGACCCAGGAATCTGAGAGGCACGGCAGTGGGCCCACGCACGACCCCTGACAGCCGCTGGTGACTGTTGACGCAGCCCCAGCCTCTGTGTGCTCCTCAGCTAGTCCTAGTGTTACAGAACTGAGAACTCGGTCCTGACCAACTTCTCCCCGGGGTCGGGGTCTGCTGGTTTTCACCTCCACTGCTCTCTGAGCTCACAGCTCCCTGGGCTGCAAGGAGACGGGCGAGAAGAGGGGAAGGCGGAAACCTGGCACTGGGAGCAAACTCTGCCCAGGCACACTCCCTACCGCCTTCGGCTGCTCCTGGCCCACTGTGTTCTGTGCGGTGGCTCTGTGCAGAGGCTAGTGGGTCGGAAGGCCAGAGATCCCACAGGGTGTTTGTATTCCTGTGGTGAGAGGTTCTGATGAGCACCATTGCTGTGTGGCTCTGGCTGACTTCTCTCTCTGATTTGAGCTTAAGGGCCCCCAGGCTGGCATCACTCCCTAAGCACACTGAGAACCCTGCACAGAAGGCACAACCCCCGGCCCAAAGAGGCCTGTGCCTGGAGGGAAAGAGAGGTAACAGGTTTAGAGGGTCCGGTTGAAAAGAAAGAACGAGCGACCTCAAGGCTGTGGCAATTAATGAACTCGGCCCTCTCTGTGTTAACGTCACAATTCCATTTGTGGGACTGACCTGCTTTGAGATTATTTATCCCAGAGAAGGGTTCCTTTTCATTTCTCAATTATGCTATAAATCTAAACAAAATGAACACAAAACAAAAAGAAAGAAGGAAGGAAGAAAAACACTTCCTACATTTAGAGAATATTTAATTTTACATCCTATGGGATCATTACTTTATGACTCTCCAAGCCAGCCCAGAGACAAGCCGCCGGAGCCACTCCCTGCCCTGCGGGGAAGCCCCCCCGCAGTCAGGCAGCAGAAAGCCGGTCGTCTGCGCCTCGGAGGTCAGGGCTTCCCGGCCACCAGCGCCTGGAGTTGGGATCACCTGACAAATAAAATTGGGTGCCTCGTGGGCTAAGGGAAGCATGCTGCTGGCTTGTACCTGGAATGCTCCAAAACCCAAGCAGAACCCTCCCCTCTGCCTGTCTCTTCTGTAAGCCCAGGCCCTGATCTGCTTCTGCTTCTGCTATGGTCACCTCCTGATGACACAGGAGCGCCTTCTCTTTCCTGCTTGTCCTCATCAGGCCTTTGGGTCCCGCAGGTCTCACCTGTGGAGCAGCGCCAGGACTGAAAGGGGAGTGTCAAGCTCTGGTGGGAGCGATGGCTGCGGGGAAGCAGCAGTAGGCGAGGGACTGATTCCTATGAGGCTGGGAAACACAGAGCCTGGGTGGCTATTGGCTCAGCTGTGTCTGAAAGGGAGCTTTGAAGCCCTGCTGATTGCCAGGGCTGAGCACATGGGTTTGTTACTAGGCCCCAGATTGCTTCAGAGAGGCTGATTATTCTACCTTGTTGTTGATCCACAGCAAGTGGAGAAGCCAGTCCTTCTTGGTAACTGGCTGAAAGAGTTTTCCATGGGAGACACAGTTCCAGATCTTACAGTCATGAGCCTCCCCACCAGGAGGAGGGAGCCTGCTGAGGAGTTCCCTTCTGTCAGGCTGAATTTCAGGCCCCACACTAGCAAGAGGATTGCATGTATCAGGAAGCTGAGTGGGCACAGCCCTTTATCTGGCACCCATGACGGAAAATCCCTGTCACTACTCCCAGCCCCAAAGGAATTGCTAAGCCAAGGGTCACGCTAAGGACCAAGGAGAGGAGGCAGCCAGCCGGCAGGCACCAGGCTGGTTTAGTGGATATTAGTATGTCAGGGTGGGGACCACTCACAGGGTGTGGATTTTAGTGTGATCGTTAGTGTCAATGAGGAAACCAGAAGGACTTGCCTCAAACTGATGGAAAAGGCCCAAGTGAATAATATACTTACTCTCTAGATATCCTGGGGAGGAAGGTCATTGAAAGAGATCCATGGGAAACAAAGTTAAAATGGAAACATCAGTCTCTGTCTTGGTCTGGACAAAGTCGCCCTCTGGGTTCTTAGTTTCCTGGCTCCGAACACCTACCTCTGCATTCTGCTCTTGCCCGTGCTCCGTCTCCTCCCCTTCTGCATGCCCGCCACGCTGCACAGTGTGAAGGATACACCCTCGCCCCCCGCGTAAGGCTCCATTCTGACCTCCTAGACTCTAGTCCCCACTTTTCTGGGACTTGAGACTTGCCTGACTGGCCATACATGTAGACATGTGGCATGGCCTGGACGTAGGATGCTCTTCTAAGAAGCCGGGGGTAGGGGGTGGTTAACTAGTTTGAAGAAAAGAAAAAGCTTCCCTTTTACATGGGTCTTGGACTCTCACCCAGGTCAGCAAGTGGCAGAGCTGGACTGCAATGCACAGCCGATCCCAGCCTCTAGATCGCTCCGGAGCTGGCTAACCCAATCTCAGTGGCGGCAACCTTTGCTGCCTAGTGACTACCTCAGGCAAGAATCAGATACCTTTTCCAATGCAGCTTCCTCGGGACAGTCAGCACAGTAAAGCTCAGTTTGTCAGGGGGTGGGTTCTGGTGCAGGTTTCAGTAAGTCCAGGAACTTCTCTGCTAGGAACCGAAGAGGCCATCTGCTCCGTGTGGCTATTCCTTCCATCCTCACCCTCCAGAGGCGGGGCCAGCCTCACACTGTCCACTGAACTAGGGCATCTTTCTTTCTACTCTTGCCATCTCCAGTTCAGGATATGTTGCCCCATTAAGCTCCGGTGTCGATGGAGTCCCTCGGACTCCTACTTGGCCTAGCTTGTTGGTGTCATGAATTAAGAGGTCACAAGAAGGCTGGCGGGCCAACCCTAACGATGGAGGCCACCGGGAGCACCCACTGCAACTTCCAGACAGGGCCTCTCTGCGGCCTTTTTCAGGTACTGGCGAAGGTGGACGTATCCTCTCTACCACCCCCGCCCCCAGCCCCATCTCCCCGCTTCCCGCCCCAGACCACCGGAGCCGGTACTCACTTCTCCAGCAGGGTCAGCGCTGTCACGGGGTTTACCCGGAGGTACTTGCAGTTGGGCTGACCATAGTCCGCAAGGTAGGTCGACCAATCCCACTGGATGAAGAGATCCAAAAGCTGCAAAACATCCAAATCCCCACCCCAGGGATTAATCAGACAGACAAGACAAACCCCTTAGAAGCCTTTAGCATCCTTCACTACCAGCTAATAGCAGATTTGGAAAACAAATAAAAATGTAATAAGAGAAAGAATGGTTACAAACTATAAGGCAACTGGGGAAATAAATGAGTAACCATTAGCAGTCAGAGTCACCTCTGCCACAAGCACCGTAACGGAGCCACAGCGACCTGCTGGCAGCTCCCAGAAACAGGCCTGCGCACGGCCTGGCGCTAGACTGAGTCAGACACAGGACTGCCACAGCGCTCGCTCACCCACGCCACAGGTCCTCCTCGAGGGCCTTCAGCAGGTCAAGCCCCGTTCCAGGAGCCCAGACTCCAACAGTGAATGAACAGAGCTGGGTGTGGTCCAGGGCCATGAGGGCGGTGGTAGGAGCTTTCAGGTTAAAAGGTCTGGGTTCAAGTGCCAGTTTCATGTCTTGCTGCGTCAATTTTGTCCAAGTTACTCAGCTGATATACACACACACTCATGCCTGTCAACAAACAGGACACACAGACAACACGGAAATGCTGCGTGAAAGGGCCACGGAGCATCTGTGTGAGGCAGCCGTGTCACCTGTGTGGGCGCTGGCTGAGCAGATGGAAACCGTGGCCTGAGGGTCAGGCTGAGCAGCAGCCGTGACTGCGGGTGCCGATCCTGGAACCAGGCTTCTGAGCATCGGAGGGGAGTGCCAAGAGCTTAGCGCGTATTTACAAGGTAATGAGAGCTTTCGGAGGGTAAGCTAGGTTCTGAGACGGGAGATTTTGACTTAAAAAACTGAGTACATTTTGTCAAAGGCTTTGCTTCCCAGCCAGTTAGGTTTTTTTTAAAATCCTCACCTGAAAATGTATTGATTCTAGAGAGGGGCAGCATGGGGTGGGCGGGGAGAGAGAGAGAGAAACACTGATGTGAGAGAGAACATGAATTGGTTGCCTCCCGCATGTGCCCAGACCGGGGGGGAACCTGCAACCTTTGGCTGTACCGGACAATGCTCCAAGCAACTGAGCCATCCCACCAGGGCCCAGCTGGTTAGTCTCAACCTCAGGTATCACTCCAGCAAATATTAAAAAATTTTATCTGAGTAAATCTAAAAACAAATCAGTGCATTTCAAAGGCAGGGGTGATGAGAGGGAAGCTGGCAGCTCCCTCTGGGAGCTTCTGGAAGGGGCACAGTCCCAGACTCACATCCCTGCAGAGGGGAAGGGCCTCCTAAGCAGTCTCCAGCAATGAGATCCTTATGTTTTTGGACTCAAGGCATTCCCCTGTTTCTCTCTTTCTGAGAGACAAGGAGGTAAGTAAATGGCTGTCTCTATATGCAGGACAAAGGCAGAGAGGCCTGGAACCAGTGCCGTGCCGGAGCCCAGGCTCCAGGCACACCCTCCCGGCCTGTTACCACTGTGCAACCGGGCAAACCGGCAGTGTGGGCCTGGCCCTGCTGGGCCCAGCTGGGCCCAGCCTCCTCTTCCATCGGCTCTGTTCGAACAGCCGTTACGAACTTCCTCAGGCAGGATGGGAACTGGCTGAAGTCCCTCGCCTAAAACTGAGAAAAGCCCCTACACCCTCAGCCAAGAAAGAGGTGCTAAAGATGAGAGGGGCGGGGAGACAGACAGACAGACAGACAGACAGACACGTTGCCTGGTCTGGGCCGGCAAGGTCCCAAAGGGCCCCCTCAGGGCCTCTTTCAGCCAGGCCGACTTCAGTCGGCAGGTGAACGGGCTCTGGCCACTTCCTTTGCTGCCCTCAGGCCTCATGGACCTCTCCTTCAGAACAGCAGCTGCCCCGACTGCCAGCCCTACCCTTGGGGTTTCTGTCCTAGTGTCCAAAGACGCTCAGGTAGCTCCTCTCCACTTGCTCCTAGGGAGAGCAACCGACACGCAGAGTGGCCCTTGTTCTCCAGCTTTTCCAGTACTGTGCCTTCCAATTATGACTGCGCTTTCCCCCCAATCCCAGGGAAAAACCATGAAAAATAGCAGTCTTTTGTTAATTAAATTTTTTTCTCAGAAAATTTTGGAAAACCTTGGAGAGACTTTGTACTGTTCACATCTTACGGAGCTAAAAAAAAGACAAGTAAATGAATAACAAATAAGTTTAATTAGAACAATCTGAAAACCTGGTTTCTTAAAACTATTTCTGGCATCGGTTTCCAGGTGTGGACATACACATTCACTTCCTGAAACCTCCTGCTCCATTAATGAATCCCTAGTTTCTGCGGTGGAATTAATGGTGTCAGTATTTTCTGATTTATTGCAAAGAGCACCATGCTTTCCTGGCTGAGGAAACCTGGGTAAATGACCAGAGGAGTGTGGAGGGCAGTTCAAGACTTAACTCCAGGGTTTTCTATCTTTCATCTTCTCCCAAAGCCCCTAAATGCTATGGGGTGACAAGCGACCTGGCTGGCCCCGCTTTAGGGTGGAGGCTCTGCACTCTGTTAGGTGCAGCCAGCAGGAGCCCACGGAGCGAGCACACTGGGTCTGTGTCCACTGCACAGTGCGCAAGGGCGGCCCAGACCTAGGTCTCCGGCCTCCTCTGAGAGAGATGCACACCCGCTGGAGTGGTAGCTGCTGGGGGCGCAGGTCTGCTGCGTCCGGAAGGACAGTTAGAACAGGGAGCCAAGAGGACCAGCAGGCCTCTGCAGCAGCACAGCGCTTTAACTTCCACACTACGACATTTCAAAAGTAAATCGGGCCCTCCCAGCCTGGTTCCCTACTTACAATGGCCTCCTCAGGTCTCAATAAAGTGTCTCCCAAGGACACAGAACATTCAGTCATCACTAACAAAATGATTTCAAACTTATCAGAAAGTTGCAAGAGTAAGCATAGTATAAAGAATACTGTTAACCCTGCCCCCATTGTCAGCATTTTATCCACACGCTCCATCACTTGTATTCTCTCTCTTTCTCTCTCCACACACGTGCACACATGAAATTTCTTTTCTGAATCTCTTGAGAGTAAATACATTGTCCTGGCCCTTTTTCCTCAAATACTTCAGTGCTCCTAAGAATTAGAGATCCTCTTACACATGGTATAGTTTTCAACTTTGGTCAATTTAATACTGTTCACTGTCTACATTCTAACTTTGTAAATTTACCCAATAATGTCCTACACGGTCTTCTTTTCTGCCTCCCCTCTCCCTTAGTTTTGGTTTTTCTAATGCACTCCTGGCCAGAACACCACAGAAGTGATGCTGCACCTTCCTCAGGGTGTCACGTCTGTTGGACCACAGTGTTCATTTGCCTCTCATTGGTCATATGGATATTGATCGCTTTGTCAAGGTGTTGTCTGATTTCTCCACTGCCTAGGTGTGTCCTGAGCTGTCAGGAGGGCCCACAGTCAAGGGCTGGGTTTGGCTGGTGAGGCCTGGTGAGCCTGGATGGGCTGGGCACCTTTCTAACACAACCACAACTAGTTTTTCCTATGCAACCAGTTTCCTTGGCAACTAGTAAGCAACTCAGGAGACAATTTAAGACCAGGCAAACAGAGTGCTCCTAACTAAAATTTCCCCTTAGATTTAGCCTCCATTGAAGATTCTCGTCTGAGCCAGTCTTTCTTACCATGGCTGCATACTAAGGACATTCCAACTTCGTCTTTCTTCCACATTTACCAGTCGTCACTCAGCATTCCACCACGAGCCAGTGCTCTCCCCACTTCCCCATTCATTCACCACGTTATTATTGGCATGCATTGACGGTTCCCCATTTTCTAAATGCCTTATATTTATGACCATCCCTAATTATTTTGACCTCTAATTGTGTCAGATTTGGCAAGTGGGAGCCCCTTCCACCTGGAGCCTAGGCCCTGACCCACCCCGTCACTTTGTTGTGCACTTCCTTGCTTTCTGGCATACGAAGGTGTTGTGGGCTCACCTGGCACCTGCCATGCCCTGGCCCTGCAGCCAGCCATTTCTCTGAGGGGCCCCGGTTTCTCTTAGCGGAACATTATTGGAGATCGAGGCGTGGGTGCCAGGCGTGCTCACTGCTACGCGAGTCTTTTATCATTGCAACTGGGGGGCAGTTGGCAGGCAGAGTTAGGAGAAATATGCATACAAATACACATATGTGTGCATATACACAGGCACATACATGTGCTTACACAAGTGTGTGCACGTGTTTTTAGAAATCATGGGTTTGTAACAATACCTTCCATTCTAACCGTCCTCCTAGAGTTCTTCCTCGCCTTCCTCCAACCCACACGTGCATGTGCTTTCCTCCCCAGTGAGAAGAGCCTGGCTCGCAGAGCCACCCCTCAAGTACTCTTGCCCACTCCCGTCATGTATCTACACTAGTTTCAGAGTTGTCTGTGCCTACCACTCCGGGAAGTGCCAACTAGAAAACAGGAGTTCGAATTTGTTTGCAGTTATCTCTCCCAACCCAAGACTGAATGTATATGATCAATTCTGAGTTCGAAAATTGGTTCTTTTTTTGGTTCCCTTTGGTTTAGTTATGGTAGTCATCTAAATACAACGAGGTTCATTTGTTTCCAATTGCTTTTAGTTTTAGGCTCTTCTCTCCCATCCTCGTTAATTTAATTTTTAAAATATGTAGGACATTACTGTACTTCCAAAAGTAAAAACTATACACACGAAAATTAACTTAGAGAAGTCATTCCTTCCCTGGTTGTATCCCTTTTACCCCAATTCTTTCAGAGCCTTGTCGGAGCCAACTCGATCGTTTCTGGGTTTGTCTTTCCCATGTTTCTGTGTGTACAGATCAGCTGATACACAGACACTTTCTTACCTCCCCTTCTTTCTGTCATGTAAGTAGCGAACTACGCACGCACTTTAAAGCATCTTATTTCTTGATGTTTACAAGTAAGTGGTGGACAGAGAAGGAGAAAGAAGAGTCAGAGGTGGGAGACGGAACTTAAGATCACTATTCCCCAAACTCCGAGCATCACTTTTGCAGCTTTTATCACATCCTCATGCTGTGTGGGTTAGTATTTACTTAACTTTGTTTTCTCCGTATT